GGCTCCACAAAGAAATTATGTGACAGATGTGTTAATTAGTTTGATTTAATCACTGTAGATATATCGATATATTCCATTGTACACCATATTATATGCAGTTTTAGTTTGTCAGTTACACAGATGGTACCTGTTAATGTTTGTCAAAACTTAGTCCAGGCTTCTGGGTCCATGTGATAGTAGACATAGAAAGCCACCCAAAGCCAGACTTCAGATAATTCCATGAGAATTACCAAATAAATGGTTTTTTTTTTAAGATTCCTCACCAGCACCCCCAAAATAAAACTCCACAGAGTAAGAGAAACTTAGAACTGTATCAACCAAGTAAGTAGTGTTTAGACTTGATTGGGATCCTGAATTGAGCAACTACAAGGGTATGTGTGGTGGCCAGCTAGAGGAGTTCAAATTGAGATAATTAGGGGGAAATTGCTTAGTTGTAGATATTTAAATGTGAGATTACTTTTAGAAACATGCTATTGTAAGAAATAAAGAAGGATTCCAAGGACTTTTCTTGAGTACTCTTGGAAAAAACTATAGAAGAGCACAGCTAGCATGTGAATGTGGTTGGGATACTAGATATCTTATCGACAGATCTCTTCTGCTGCCTTCTTATAGCCGTATCCACTTCATCCATAACCTCTCGCAACCACCACTCTACATAATTTTATCTTTTGAGATTGTATAAATAGGAGACATACGTTATGCTTTTGGAAACCTGTCTTTTTCCTTGGCATAATTCTCAGTGTTTTTCTAGGTTGTATGTACCAATACTTCCCTTTTATTTTATTTATAAAGCAATTTGTATTTGGTACAGGGCAGGATTCTTTCTGGTGAAATAAATATAATATTTTAAAATGTGCTTTAAAATCTAAGGGGAGGAGATTATAAATGAAACCTAATTGCTAAAGTTACTTGATAGGTATGCAGGGGTCAGTTGATTTTACTAAAGTTAAAAGTATAGCAGTGTATTTTAAGTGGGAGCTGACCAGAAGAACTAGAAATGCAGCATTGGAACCACGACAGCATCGGAGCAGAGCTTTACCATTGTCTCCTTGCTGGCTAGTTTTATCAGCTGACATGTGCCAGGATTGGTTTTTGTGGTGTTTGTTTGATTTGGTTTTTCAAGACAGGGTTTCTCTTTTGCTATTGAGCCTGTCCTGGAACTAGCTCTTGTAGGCCAGGCTGGCTTTGAACTCACAGAGATCCACCTGCCTCTGCTTCCCAAGTGCTGGATTAAAGACGTGTGCCACCACTGCCTGGCTACCAGGATTGTTTTTATTCTTCAGTTTCCTCTGAGACCAAAGTTTATCATGTTACCTTGGCTGGCATTACTCCTTTACTCCAGCAGTCCTCCCGCCTCAGCATTTTTGTGGTGAAAACTACATGCACTGACACACCTGGCATGTTTTTGTTTTGTTTGTTTTTAATGTGTTTGGGTTCATGTATATATGTGTACCATCTTGTGCCTCATGCCCACGGTGGCCAGAAGAGGGAATGCTATCCCAGTTCGAGGAACTGGAGTTCCAGTAGGTTGTGAACTGTCAAGTGAATACTGGGAATCAAACCTTGGTCCTCTGCCAGAACAACCCTTAATCACTGAGCCATCTTTCCAGTCCCCTCCCCTGACTATTTTTAGGCAATTTCAAAACCATTTGTTTAAGTATATCTTAATTATATGACTAAAACAAATGATAATCGTTGACTTTTGACTTCTACCCTGTGTGAAAAATACCTGATCTGGAAGGGAGTGGAATAGAAATAGAAGCAAGTTCCTTCCGTTGTCTTCCATTCGCTCTAGACTCTGAACCGACCTTACCATTTTCAGATCACATGGCTTCCCCTGGGATTCCTTATGTCTTTGGCTACTGTGCTATAAGAAAATCTTTTATTGTCATTTGGTTTGTTTTTAATATTCAAGTAAATTTCAATTTTGGTCAGTTTTTAGGCTTTGTCAGATCTTATGGGTAAGATCGGTGCTTAGATGCCCTGTTAGGACAGACCTCTTATTATTTTGCTAGTATATTTTCTCGTGATCTTCAAACAAAATATTTGTCCTTCACATGTCTTCGGTAGGGTTTCTATTACTGTGATGAAACACCACAAGTAAAGGACAAATCGAGAAGGAAAGGGTTTATTTTGCTTATACTTCCATATCACTGTTCATCATCGAAGGAAGTCAGGACAGGAACCTGGAAACCAGAGTTAATGCGGAGGCCATGGAGGGGTGCTGCTTACTGACTGGCTCAGCATGTTTTCTTACAGAACCCAGGACCAGATGCATTTTCTTAACTGAGGTTTCCACCTCTTAGATGTCTTTAGCTTTTGTCAAGTTGATAAAAAACTATTCAGCACATTAACATTTAGCAGATTTTGGGTAAGCTCAACACAGTTTGTTTTGTTTGACATTCATGTTTTTAAAGTATGTAAGGTCATAAGTACATAAGTATGCTAATTAGCTTGATGGAACCATTCCAGAGCATATATATTATCAAAACATTGTAAGCCATCGATGCTTTTATTTAACAATTTAAGTTTCTTATGATATTTTTCCTCTCTTAACATAGCAGAGAGGAATTTGGAAGATTCCTAATAGCTAGGTGCTGGCTATTCTAATATAGGTATTGGTCAAGGCCTGTGTTAATCAATTCACATTCGAGCTCCTTTTATTACTTGTTCTTAGAGAATTTCATACAGTATAGTTTTATCATATTCTTTCCTGCCCCTCACCCCCCCCAGCTCCTTCCAGAACCTCCCCTCTCCCCAAGCCACTAAAAAACATGGAGTCAGATTTGTGTTGTCCATCTACTCCCGAGCATGAGGTCTGCCATGTGGTTGACATACCCAGTATCCACTGTCCCTTGAAGAAAACTGATTTTTCCTTCCCCTACCACCTATCATTTGCATATAGCTTTTTGGCTAGGGGTGGGATTTACCCACTTCCCCTCCTTCATGCTGGGATTTTTGCTGGCTTGAGTTTGTGCAGGTTTTGGACATTCTGTCTTGATGACATAGCCATGGCCTATGTGGGGTGTCCTGCTGTGACTCCCATTCTGCATGACATTGACATTTGACATTGCTTGGCAGCTGATAGACTCTGAACCCAGAATGCAAATGTTTCTCTTCTGTAGCACATCAGTGAACCCCACCTTAAAATATTTCTTTTCTCTTGGCTTCTCCATCCACTGACCAAGCCAGATTTCCTCATCTAGTTCATGAAATGTCAACAGATGTTCCATAAAAAAGAAAGTTTAATGGAAAAATATTTAACCCAATGCTTTTCTTATGTGCATAGAGATTATTTATGTTGAGAACTTCTCACCGAATTTTATGTTAAATGTATATTGCATATCACCAAGGGGAACATTCATCTTGTAGCATTCTAAAACTATTTTTGTGTGGAATGTTGTATTTGGTTTTGTTTTTACAAGTTATCTATAGATCTCTTGAGGAACACACAGTTCTGTGCCATTTCTGTGTTCTTGAATCTCATCTATTCCCTTCCACCAGTAGTTCCCCTAAATCTTGTAGGCTGTTTCTTGAGTATAAACTCGCAGATGTGTTTGCCCTCCTTCGCCTACAGCAAGCAGTGCTCTTCCTGGAGTCACTGTATTATGCAGGTTAATTATGTCTGCTTAGCTGCTGTTCCTGCATGGATGCCAGGGCTGCATATGCCAGCTGCCACCTGTGGTCTGTGTTGAGTACCAGCAAGTATGTTTCCTGTGTTGCACCACCAGGACAGTTGCCCCAAGATTAGAGTGGAACATTGTGCTTTCTGTGCGTTTTGAAATCCTGTCATCTGCAGGGTCCTCCTTTATGTGCCTTTAGTCTGACATGGTGTCTACATGTGGTGACTTTACTCTTCGACCAGGAATCCTAGGGCCACATCCTGTTTACTTTAGTTTGCACGGCACACATGTTATCAACTGGCTTTACTTCCATAAATGTTGGGATGGATTCACTTTCTGGAAGTATTAACTGTCAAAAAATATGTTTTGTGTTGAAAGTTTGAGAATATGTTTTATCCCTTTTGTTAGTAAAAGTCTTGTATTTCAATATAATGTTATAATGTCCTTAAAGTTTTTTTTCCATTTGGAACATTTTTTTAAACAAAACTATTTCTCAGTATTGGTAGGGCATTATGAATCAAATACATTCCTACATTCCATAAGTTATTAAAGTGTTGTTTTTTTAAAGTCTGTGGATATTCACATTTTTTTATAAGTCAGATGTCTTATTGTGGCCTCTTTTACTGTACTAAAGCTCATAGAGCCTTTTACATGGTAGGCGAGCGCTCTTCCTCTGAGCTCTGTCCCAAGCCTGAGTAACCTCTTTGTTTTAATCATGATTAATTCATTTATTGTTTGCATAAATTCATCGAGATTTATGTTACCTTTCAATGTTATCTAAACACCTGTTGTGGCTTCAACCAGGTTTATGAACAGAAGCAGCCTCCCATAGCACTTTAGTAGATAATTCATGCTAGATTAGATATTTTATTACGTATGTGTTTTGCCTCTGTGTGCCAGTTGCCATTGGGTCCAAAAAAAATGCCAATGGGTCCCATAAAGCCAGTTGTGAGATGTCTTCTTGGGTGCTGGGAATTGATTGATCTCAGAAGAGCAGCCAGGGATCTTAATTAATTAATCTTGGATTATCATGCCTAGTTACAAATAATCTCATTAATTAACTCTATCCAACACTATACCATCTAATCTGCCGTTTTACTTAGACAAATACTCTGGAAATTGAGAAAGTTTGTGCATTATCAATTGAGTTTGGATTCATATATTATCTGACTTTATGTAAGTTACCTTTCTCTTGCTGTCATTTGAACTCAATTTTTAAATAGAATAACTGATTTTACATTTTTCTATAAAAAAATGTACATCTTTAAAAGAATTTACTGTATAAATGCTAATTAGAAATATCTTATGTATGAAAGGGCCAGAACTGAGCGGGGCCTATATCATTCTCAGTCAGTATCTGAATATGTATCTTTTCAGGTTCTAAAAGGTTACAGAAAAAAGAAAAGAAGGGGGAAGAAGAGTGTTGAGAAATGCTTATATGGAAAAAGAGACATTGCATCCAAGAAGCCACTCCTGAGCCCTATCCCTGAGCTTCCTGAAGTCTCTGAAATGACAGCTCTGGCTGACCGCACACAGAGGACATGTCCAGGTGCGTCTCTCAGGCTGAGCTTATTTCCTTTCACCCACTCCATGTACCACGTCCTCTCTCACCTTTTCCCATTCACTTTTATTTAAAAAAAAGACCGAATCCATTATCAGTAAAGGAAGTTGTAGCCTGTAATCTGTGAGGGGTCTAGGCTCTATCAGAATCTGATGAAATCCTCATCATTTTTATCAGAAGAATTCAAACACAAAATTTGCATATAATTTTGTGGGAGATTATTTCTGTTCATCTACTTTTTGCTGTACTTTGTTTGTGTGGCTTATCACAGAAAGTAGGCAAAATGATCTCTTTTTAATATATACATCTTAAGAGTTAATGACAATGCCAGATGGTAGCAGCGCACATCTTTAATCCCAGCACTCGAAGACAGAGCCAGATGGATCTCTGAGTTCAAGGCTAGCCTGGTCTACAGAGATTTCCAGGACAGCCAGGGCTATACAGAGAAGCCCTGTCTCAAAAAACTGAAGGAAAAAAAAAAAGGTTAATATCAGAAATAGGAAAATAGAAAAACTAGCCTTATAACATTTCCTTGCAATTATAATCTAGAGATGTTTCTTTGTAAATTGGGCTTGATTACCTTGAGAGTTATTGTTACAAACAAGCGAAGACCAAGGTGATTTATATCCTAAGATTTATTCATTCTATGTGTGAGTATTTTGCCTGCATGTATGTATATTCACCATATGCATGCTTGGTACCTGCTGTGGCCAGAAGGAGGGCATCAGATCCCCATAACTGGAGTTGCAGATGGTTGTGGGTTGCCAATGAGGTATTGGAAGCCAAATCCACATCTTCTGCAAGAGTACCCAGTGTTCTTAACCCCTTAGCCATCTCTTTAGCCCCTTTAATGTGTAAGTTTAAGCTGAGTTTTCGTGCTTAAATTTTTAAAAAAAGTACCCCCCTTTAGCATGTTGATTTTTAGAAGTAGCCATTTTAAAGTAGTTACCTTTGTCCAATTTCATATCATCTTAGCATGCATTTTTAAAGAATTCAAGATGAATGATATGTGTGTCACTGTAGACTGTCTTCTGCAGGCATCTCAACTTGAGGACAGAACAGGAGTTTTAACAAGTACTCAGAATAACTCATTCCTGGCTTCTTTCTTTTGTTGCTCTTGTCCTGTCGTATGGAGTGCTGTGGAATGGGAGGTCTGCCATTTCTACCTTCTTTTAATCTGGCCTTGAGTCTTCATATCTATTAAAATGTTACTACCTTCATTGCAGGAAAATACTTTGACTTTCAGTGGTTTTAATCTATAATTGCTGTTGTCACCTGAAAAGAGGGTTTAATACAATTTAGTTTCTTTTCATCTTTTTCTATAATGTTCACTCCCCAACATCTCTTTTTTATCAGGATGCTATAAAAATATACCAATACTAATTTTAAAGTAATAAAAGATCCTAGCTAATGTGGTCATTGTAAATCATGGTTAGTGTGAATCTCTAACTTTACATACTATTTTACCTACTCTAATCATGAATGTATTTTTTCAGATTGAAATGTTTTTGTTTTTTAAGTTTAGACTCAGCTTAAAACATCTTTTATATTCATTTGAATAACCAACTAAAAACATTATCTTAGATAATAGAGATAGAATCTGATAACATTGATTTAGAATCATAAGAACTGAATTCCTGTAGGACAGTGATTTCAACCTGTGGGCCGCAACCCCTTTGGGGGCCAAACAACCCTTTCACAGAGGTCACCTAGGACCATCAGGAAGCACAGATACTTACAACTCATAACAGTAGCAAGACTACAGTCATGAAGTAGCAACGAAAATAATTTCGTGTTGGGGTCACCATAGCATGAGGAGCTATATTAAAGGGTCACAGTATTAGGAAGGTTGAGAACCTCTGCTTTATGACGACATGTTCCTTCTCAGTCTGAAACTTTACTAGTAGCTTTCTCACCTATGAAGACAATGCAACCATACACAGAGCTCCATGTGATGTTCTTGCCTGGAGGATGAAGCTTAGTTGGAAAGGAGGGTCCAGACCGAGTGAGACTTTGAGATTGGGTCCCATGGCTCTGCCTACTTTTTATATTCTACTTGAATATATTTTATGGGAATTCTTAGAAGCCATGATACCTGCACACTTCAGCTGCTATTCTTCATGTACCCTAGAATTCTGATTTTATCACCTTGTTTTAAGAAGGCATTGATAGAAGAATTTGAAAAGTATGATGTCTGTTTTTTCAGTCAGTAGGAACTGTTTCATACTTCTGCACCTTATAGTATGAGAAGCACATTAAAGAAAAGGAAGCTAACACAGCAGTCTCGTTTTCATAGTCTGAAGTTGTGTGCTTTATTATTCCATGGTTGAACACTTGTTTTTTTAACCTATGGACTCGGGACGGTAAGGGACGGAGAACGACAGATGTAAGCAAGAATAGTGTGATAATTGTAGGTTATGTACGTTCTGAAAGCGTAAAAGACAGTGTTGCATAGAGCACATTTGTGTAAGTGACAGACTGCTCATTTCATAGGCATTACACTGTTCCTTTGTAATTGAATTTAAGTGTGTTTTTATATCATAGATGATTTCAGCGTAAGTGGTGAGCTGGAAGAAGTAATCTCTCTTGAAATTCCCATCAAAAGAGAGACACTCTTACCTCTGGAGGAAGGTTCGCCTGAGCTGGATCCAGCCTTTGACCAGTCTTGTGTATCTGAATTGTGCAGCTGCTTGCTGCCGGGCACTGCTGCTTCTGAGGAAGGAACAAACCCCAACAACAGGGACACAGGCAGAAACAGTAACTCCGGAGCAGAAAGTAAGTGTCAACATGCAGAAGAGCCAAAAATTGACACCAAGACTGAAAGCAATCCTGTGCCTTGTGCTTCTGTGACCCAAGAACACTTTGTGTCAGGTAGTCCAAAGCCTCTGTGTAGCCCTTGGTGCCAGGAATTTTCCAAAGATGATCAAAATACAGAAAATCTTTGTGAGATCCTTACGGTTTCAGAGAATATGGATATCAAGTATGAGAAAGAGAGTACATGCTCAGCTGTACGGGGGAATCTGCAGTGTGACCCTTTCCCGTCTGACTCAGAAAGGGAGCGTGATTGTTCAGAAGATATTCTAGTTAAAAATCTAAATGAATCTACAAGCCCCAGTAAGAGTGCAGGAAGAAACCATGCAGAGAACGGGCACATCACAAGTGGTAGAGGAAGGAAACGAAGATACTCTAGAAACTTTTGTGAGAGACAGAGTTCATACCTGGAACAGAACAGTAACTCTGCATCTTCCCACAGCGGGGAAAGCTCTTCAGAGGTTAGTGTGGGGAATCCCCAGCTTTTTGAAGATTTATCTGCTGCCCTAGAGCAAAGCTTTCAGAGAGCAAGCACTCAACCCAAAGTGAGACGCAGCACAAGGCTCCAGGGAAGCTTGGAAGATACGGGGCTTGTATGGATGTTGCCTCCCACTCCTCCCACGTCCCAGAAAACCAAAAGGAGGAGGACAATTTGTGCCTTTGACAGCAGAGGATTTGAAAGTATCTCCTCTAGAGAAGAGACTATATCCTCGGAACAAAACCCAGGTGCCCTGCCATCCATCCCAGACAGTGAGGGCCAGGCTGTTGGTTCTTCCAAGCTACCTGGGAGGGGGAGGAGGAGGAAGAGCGTCTGTGTGTCTACACTCCCAAATGCTGAGAGTACCACTGAGCAACCAGGCTTCAAGAGAAGATCCTTTCTTGAGAAGGGAGAGAGCTCTCAACTGCCATAAGGGGGCTGGGCACAGGAGAACTGGTTCTGGGACTGACAGTTTCACCTGGCATTGGCTCTTAAGAGGAGGGATCCCAGCTTCCTCCCTACTACTTCCATCCCTGTTCAACTTCAGTGCATTGCTTGTTTCTAATAAAAAAGCATTTGAGTTGCGATGACTTTGAGTAGCAATAAATGAATTTCTTCATCGTGTATCTTCTCCCTCTAAATGCTAAGTAAGTTTATTAGTCTTGCTGAAATGTTCATTTTTAAACTCAACAGTGTTTCTGCATTTTTTTCAGTTTCACAGAGCACATTTAATCATATACACTTGAAAACAGTACACAAAAATAAATCCATAAATACATATAAATAGTAAAATCGAGAATCTAAGTTAGTGCTTCTCTGTGTTAGAGAGATGACAGCTAAATAAATGATATTGTCTTATAATGTTGCCCATATTTAAAATAAAGTCATGTTAACTAGTTTGGATGTCTACCCAGGAATACTCAAACTGCTTTTTAAGAGTGCATAGTTGTCTTGATTCACCTGGTTTCTCAGGGACTACTTATCACAAAATTCTAGAATAATACTTTAATGCCAGAGGTGGAAAATGCTGATAATTACACTTTGTTCCCTTTCCTTACGGAAATGAAAATGGCATGAAGGTAAAAGCAAATCCTTCCCCACAACACAATCTTTACAAACACCCATTTCTGTATACAAAAGTCTCTCAACTTTCTTCATTGACAGCGTTTCCAAACAAGGTCCCTCTGTATGAGATGACAGTGATGTGCTGAGGCCTGCCACTTCTTACATCCTTTCTGAAGACACTGAGGACAGAGTTTAGCTGAGGCACACTCAAAATGGCTGCCAAGGCCCCACAGTCTATCAGTGGTCTCATACACTTTTCATCCACTGGTCAGCAATGTCATCAGACTGGTAAAGAGAATTTTTCCTACTGGTTCTGAAGATGTGTTCTTCTACAGTCCCTTGAGTAGCTTGGACAAATAAATGGAGCTTATTCTGGAAAAGTACTAGCTTAAGGTATGGATTCTTAAGTTGATCACATGGAAAGTCCTTACGAGTCCACTATTTAGCTGTATACCATAGGCTTCTACAGTAGACACGCTGATTTCCAAAGGTTCCAGCTATGTAGTAGATAGAGTCCTTGTTCACAGATGCCAAGCCGTGGACTCTAGGCACAGTCATGGGGGTTAAAAATCCCCAGTAGTCTTTTTGCGGCTCATAGAAGAGGAAAAATTCCCCCTGTAAAACATAGATCTTTCCTTTGTGTTCCACATCATTGTGAAACTCCTGCAACTGGCATGGCACAGACAGTATCCAACAGTTCTCTCAGGGAGTTTCTTCCATCATTTCAGAAGCACTCATTCCAAGCCTCTGCGTACTATGGCCTGTGCAAACTGAGGTGGAATTTTCTCGATAAACTTATCTTCCATCAAAGAAAAACGTATACATTTGGCAAAAATTTCTGGAAGGTGTACTTCTCTTTCATTCTGCTCATGTTCACACCACCTTACAATAAACGTGTTCTTCCCGGTCTACATTTAAATCATCACTATCTAGTATGCTTTTGTCAGCTGCAGAAACTCTTTCCTTTGGTTGACACACAGGAACTTTTTACGGATGTGTTGTTTTGAACAATCTCCAAGTTCCTGATGACCATAATGATCAGCAAAAATAAAGACTCCAACAGAATTCTGTGGGTCCAAACGACTAATCATATTCTTAGCACATTAGTCTTGTATGGAAGGAATTTGGGAGATGCTAGCTGTAGTGAACAAGGCTTGAACATTGGCCTCTGTCAGAATAACTCAAGAGGTATAGGCACAATTCAATAATAAATCCATTGATTTAACTTCAACACTAGTGATTTGAACTTCTGAGTACTTTCTGTAGGGCCGCTAGGGAACATGGATCTGGGGGATCACATAAGACCTGGGAAAGGGAGGGGGCAGAATTCTGTTCTCACATGCTAACTGAAGTAGGGGCTGAGTGCAGCAAGAACGTCTCTATGACAGGAAAGTGTTTTCCCATGATCCACCTCCACTACAATGTCTGTCAACTGTGAACCATGAGTTTAAATGGTTTTTTTAAATTGATATTTGTTGAGCTCTACATTTTTCTATGCTCCCCTCACTGCCTCTCCCTTCTTCCCTTCAATACACCCCCAAGGTCCCCATGCTCCCAATTTACTTAGGAGTCTTGTCTTTTACTTTCTACTTCCCATGTAGATTAGATCTATGTAAGTCTCTCTTAGTGTCCTCATTGTTGTCTAAATTCTCTGGGATTGTGGTTTATAGGCTGGCTTTCTTTGCTTTATGTTTAAAAACCACCTATGATTGTTAATTGTCTTTCTGTGTCTGGGTTACATCACTCAAAATGTTTTCTAGCTCCATCCATTTTCCTGTAAAATTCAAGATGTCATTTTTTTTCCTGCTGTGTAGTACTCCATTGTAACATGAGGAGGGCTGCTTGTTTGTTGGGGTTTTCTGTCCCGCCCAGCCCCCCTGTTATTTAGTCCCAGAGAAAAATCACACAAAGGACTCTATAAGTTATAATGCTGATTGACCCATTAGGTCAGGCTTCTTACTGACTAACTCTCACATCTTGATTAACCCATTTTTCTGATCTATGTTAGCCATGTGGCTCAGTACCTTTTTCACTGGGACAGCTCACATCCTGCTGCTTCAGTAGTCTGGGCAGGAGTGGGAGGAATCAACTTCCTCCTCCCCAGAATTCTCCTGCTCTCCTTGCATCATTTCCACTTCCTGTCTGGTTTTCCCACCTACACCTCCTGCCTGGTCAATCAGCATTTATTTTAAACATGATTGACAGAATACAGACAATTCTCCCGCACCACTTCCCCCTCTTTTTTTTTTTAATAAAAAAAAAAAAAGAAAATATCCAGTCCCTTTTTGGGGAATGTGGGCGTAGTATTTCAGGCTACTTCCTGCTGGTTGGGGGCGCTGATAATCTTATAGGAACCTAAAGAAAAATTTAGAGTTATAATCAAATCCTGACTGGAGTATCCTGTGAGTCTTGATCATCTCAGGCAGCAGTCTTGAACCTGTTCTGGATGAAAAACTCAGACATCTGGGCCATCTGCTCCTATCGGAGATTGCTCAGGTGGTCTCCCTTGGCCAAAGATGATTTTTCTTAACTCTGAATAAATCCAGAGCCTCTCATTTTCTGTGGGAACAAAAGCAAAATCTCTTCTCCAATGTAACATACCTTTTGACTTCAATTTTGAAGCCAAGGTATTTTCAAAATACCTATCTTAGATTAATTCTGCAGCATTTATAAGCAAATATCTTTTAGCAGCTGTTGCTCCTTCCTCAGCATTTAAACAATTCAAAGAGAGCATAATAGCATACAGTATCAAGATTCTCTGTGTATTTTCCATCTTTACGTGGTTTTATTTAACTTCTATTTCTTTTATTTTTACTTTTAACTTTTGGCTTTTTGAGACAGGTTCTCTGCATATCTTTGTCCTGGAACTCCCTCCATAGACCAGGCTATCTTTGAACTCCCAGAGATCCGTCTGTCTCTGCCTCCCAGGCTACTCGTTCTTTCTTTCTTTTTTTTAATCTGAGAACTTTAACCTTTAGCCTGTATATATTTTTAACATAATGTAAACCATTTAGAGGTTTTTTTACTCTTTGAATCTCTCTTTACTGTATATCTCTCTTTTTCTGACCACATGGGTCTTTAATTTGCTAAGGAATATGGAGAAAACAACAGTCAAAAGCTCTTAAGGCGTTTCAAGGTCTTTGCCAGGAAGCAAGGTGCAATAGTGTTTTCATAGGACTGCCTGCTTGAAAGAGTCAGAGTTTTCCCTGGCAGGACGGCCCAGAAAGCTGGCATTTTAAAACAGCGCAGCTTTTTTCCTGCTTCAGCTGAAAACTGAACTGCTTTACTCTAGTCTTTCCCAAGATTTCTCAGGCTTTCTGTGGATGCAGTTATCCACATGGGCGCCATTCTGTAACATGAAGGGGGCTGGCTTGTTTGTGTTTCTGTCCTGCCCGGCCTGGCCTCCTAGCTGTTTAGCCCCAAAGTAAAATCACACAAGAGATCTCTATAAGTTATAATGCTGATTGGCCCATTAGGTCAGGCTTCTTACTGGCTAACTCTCACATCTTGATTAACCCATTTTTCTGATCTATGTTAGTCATGTGGCTCAGTACCTTTTTCAGTGGGGCAGCTCACATCCTGCTGCTTTGGTGATCTGGGCAGGAGTGGCAGAGCGAGCTTCCTGTTCCCCAGAATTCTCCTGCTCTCCTTGCATCATTTCCACTTCCTGTCTGGTTTTCCCACCTACACCTCCTGCCTGGCCAATTAGCGTTTATTTAAAACATGATTGACAGAATACAGACAATTCTCCCGCACCACTCCATTGTGTAAATGTACCACATTTTCCTTATCCATTCTTCGGTCGAGGGGCATTTAGGTTGCTTCCAGGTTCTAGATATGACAAATAAAGCTGCTATGAACAAGAACATGAGCACATGTACTTGTGGCACAATTGAGCATCCTTTGAATATATACCACAAAGTGGTATTACTGGGTCTTGAGGAAGGTTGTTTCCTAATTTTCTGAGATATCGCCACACTGGTATCCAAAAGGGTTGTACCAGCCTGCATTCCCACCAGCAATGCAGAAGTCTCCCTTTTCCCCACAACCTCTCCAGCATAAGTTGTCATCAGTGTTTTTGATCTTGGTCTTTCTTCACAGGTGTGAGATGGAGTCTCAGAGTTGTTTTGATTTACATTTCTCTGATGACTAAGGATGTTGAACATTTCCTTAAGTGTCTTTCAGCCATTTTAGATTCCTCTGTTGAGAGTTCTCTGTTTAGGTCTGTACTCCATTTTTTTTATTGGATTATGTGATCTTTTGGTGTCCAATTTCTTGAGTTCTTTGTACATTTTGGAGATCAGACCTCTGTCTCATGTGGGGTTAGTGAAGATCTTTTTCCATTCTGTAGGCTGTTGTTTTCCTTTGCTTTACAGAAGCGTTTCAGGAGGTCTCATTTATCAATTGTTTCTCTCAGTGTCTGTGCTGCTGGGGTTATATTTTGGAAGTGGTTCCCTGTGCCAATGTGTTCAAGTGTACTTCCCACTTTCTCTTCTATAAGGTTCAGTGTGGCTGGCTTTATGTC